GTACTTTTTAAAGGTAAGATTTCTTTCAATATGATCGACACCAAGAAATAAATCTGCCATTATCTTTTTTGTTACCGTTTCCTTTAGTGATGTAAGTAATCGTCTTATGTTAAATATTCCCTATCAAATTATCTCCATCTTGCAATAGAAAAGGTTTTGACGTCACTTACGTCATTTAAGAGTGGAGGCGGTGGTGATAGAAAAAAAATTCCCCCTCCTACAAACACGTAGAATGATTCCATTCTGAGACTGTCATTAATATGTAACCAAGAATTATCTGATTGTCACATTTTGACAATGCTTTTGAAATAGAACTTAATTTTGCAAAAACCTACATGTATTAAAAACTCCATCCGTGATTTTACATCTTTTTCGTATTTTGCAATGCATGATCATAATTACTAATTTACAATAATTTCATATGTCTCTCAAAACATGAAATGTGTGTTAAGCAGTTGTAAAGTTGTAAAGTTTTGAAGATAAATTGCTGTAAGTTTCAAACACTTAAAAGACTTTGTTTCCAGTATTGATTGGATGTCATATGTATGTTAAATAGATTCATCGGAAATGTTATTTTCTTCTTGTGCTTCATATACCTTTAATTGGTCGTTAAAGAAGTCCGAAATATAAAATCTTTGTTTATAGCTCTGTCGTACCAGAAAGGATCGTTACATTTGACTTGACATTTTTAAAAAAAACCTTGAAAGCAAAGAGTTTTCTATTAAGTCAAACATACTCTGAAACAAAGATGTTTCATCAAATAAAATTCTAAAATGTAAATTATATATCCAACAGAATGTCAAATTTAAGTTTAGATATACATTTCTTTTTGGAGGACGTCTGAAATGTTATAACGAAGCTAGATCATGATGACGCTGTATTTGCATCGCACTAAACGACTTAATGTTTAGGACTTTTACCTTTCACCTTGTTCTATCTAAATCCTGTGAGAGATTTAAGTCTTCTTGATTAAGGACGTGATGAACATTGAAAAATTCAAATGTGTAATCAATTGATAGAATGAGGGTGGACAAATTTAAGAAAATAAGTTGTTATTGGTCTATTTAACAATATAAGCCATACGCATTAAATGTTAGAACGTGTAGGATAAATACTGACGTCATTTTCCTTTAATTTTTGCCAGTTCTATCAGAATATTATGTAACGATTGTCAACTCAAGAATTATCAAATTAAGATATTTCACAGGTTCAAGAAGTTCGGTATTAGTAAATTTACATTTTCAATTAAGATAAGACAGGCCAACGAAATGGCAGTGGTGGAGAAAACGTCGAATCATGATTGTCCTATTAAAGATAACGATTAAAATGTGTGGAATCCGCCAAATCTTAGGAAATCCCTTTGTCGTATCATTTCCGCGGGTTCAAAATTTTAAAAGTACCTTCTTTTCAAAGGGGATAATGATGTCAGCAGGTGCTCGCTAGATTCTACTTCGTCTGCAAATATATTGAGACTTTTGGAACATAAAAATACTTCATTGAAACGAAGTATTTTAATTCAAAGCAAAGGATACACTTTTTTGTTTAGCCGTTTACAAAATGGTTTTCTAGATATTTACCAATTCCATTTCCAGCAGAATCTAGTTCTATAATTTTTTTTCTTGTCAGCAAAAAAGAAAACAAACACTGTTCTCATGGTATACCGATATTCATCTAAAATTAATGACTTAAATTTTGCCTTTATATGTTTTGAAAATCAACAAAATATATTACATTGCGATAACAATACAACGTATCTTGACTAGTTGGGGAACTAGAAGAATACAAAAGGAAATTTGGCAACTGCTCAGATTTATTTTATCTTAATGCATAGTTGTACAAAAAAAAAAAGATTCGTAAAAAATAATACCTTCTTTGTGTGTCCTGTAGCATCTCTGGTGCCCTATGTACTTCAATGTAGCCGTGGAGTCGTCGAAAAAGGATTGTCTATTTGATACATCAATTGTGGTGTCTGTTCGTGTTGTCTGTACTTCAAAGGATGTTTGCACTTTAAGGGTTTTTTACAACAACGGATACATTGATATAATGTAAGTATCCAGAAACGTTCAGGAATGCAGTTCTTGTAAGAAATGCATTAAATAAAAAATATTTCATTAAGTTCATCTTTCCGTAATTAAACGCAGATGGAATGTGGAAGGTTTCAATGTATGTTTACTAATGGTGGGTAAAAAAGAATAAAAATCGCCCTTAACAGGCAATTCTTAAGGGAATAAAAACAGTCAAGAAAGATGCAAAGAAATTTTTTTAAAAAACATTTTGATTACAAAGACTTAATCAAAAGTAGACAATTAAATGCAAAAGCTCAGTTGAAATAGCGAAATACGCATAAATGGACAAACAAATGAAAATACAATATTATACTGGGATAATTTTAGCCTTGTGAAAATATACTGCTGCATCAGGATTTCTTTTTTATTTTTAAGATACATGTTATAGATACTTATATGTGATGGACAAAAAATTGTAGTACATAAACTGGGTACTTATACCAGTATACAATTTGATTTTGGGGCTAAAATAAAAGGGCAACAAAGTATTAAAAAAATACAATAAATATTTGTACTGAGGTGCTTTATTTGGTGTCAAAACTTAATCAGAGGATCAATGACAATTTATTACAGCACATAAAAACTGGCAAATATTTAGCAAAATATTAATAGTTGTATCGGTGCAGTGTCATTGATATGTGATTGAATTATTTACCTGTCAATCGGGCACTGTGAACTTTGATAGCATTGCGTTTCATGGGGTCAAAGCTAACACTGAGTACAGGTAAAAAGTTAAACTGCATTCCTCGATATTTGTACCATCATATATCTTGAAACTGTCGATCTTACAGCATGAAAAGTTATGACAAATCATTTAAGATTTAAGGACACGACGTTTTTTTTTAACCTTGTTGAGAATCCATTATCATGATAAATTTATTTTTCTATGTTAAAAAGCATTATTTCCTTAGTGCAAAAATGTACGTCTTAAAGCATTATTTCTTTAATAATGATGAAACATAATTTTTGAGAGGACACTCTAAACAGGTATCTAAAACAACATTTTATGGTTGTATATTTCTTATCTTCTGAAATGCTCGTGAGATTTTTTTTCTCAGCTAAAATTAAAAAAAATCTAGACAACCATTCAATTGATGTAAAGATATTTTTGAATAAAAGAAACCATATATTTCATGAGAAATGCATTGAATAAATGATTGACAAGATAACACATACATTATATAAAATATAGGACAGCCCTTTTCTTTGAATAGAGTAATTATTCGGTATTAAAAAGTATGACGTATATTTCAATGTCGTTAGGCCAATAAATTTACATTATAATGTATACATGTAATAGACCATTAGAAATGTTCTGCTCCTAGAATAGGGTTACAGATGTATGATATTATAACATCCTTGGCGACTGACGTCATTGACATCTAACTGTACAGCAACAATTAGAAATTATATTGTAATGTTAATATAAAAAATGATGTACATCATTTGTCAGGGTCTCGGGCATATTAGAGTTCTTGTATCATGATGAGAGAGGAAAGTAATTTTAGTTTAGAAGGTAAAATTGAGTATAAAAAAATATGAAGTTTCGTCAAACTACCTTTATTATTGAAATGATGTGGTTAAACCCTTTTCACACCTACTTTTTGATGACTTCTAGTAGCAATGATCTACTATAATTTAAAGGCGCAGTTCTTTTATGAAAGAGTGAAATAAAAGATTAAGGTGTAAATGTTGAAATTAAAGACCATCATCTCTCAAGATTAAATAGTATTGTGAAAAAAATGCTGCAAAATTAAATGTGCTTTTCTACGACCAATACAAGTACATCAAATCAATTTTCCTATGACACTGCCGATTCTATGCAAATTATTAATATGAAGACAAGAATTAAATACTAGTATCTAAAAAATAATTTTGCATGACAGAATATCGTGGAAGTACCTATATACTATATGGTAGTAGTATTTTGGGTACATGTCTTGTAGTATTATAAACCGAGGAACCATGGCGATAGCAATCGCCTTAATTACTAAGAATAAACGGCAAACTATCAGTTACATATAGAGTACAACACAAGGGGACAAAATAACTAGTGCACTCAAACATTTCCTCGGTCATTCAGTATTCTTATGACTTTACGCTTGACATGTGATTATGTTTTAGATAATATCAGATCAACATTTGTTTTTAATGCCATATTCTTTTTCTTAATAACATTTCTATCGGGGTATAACATTATTTATCTATACGTGTCACTTTATAAATAAGTTGAGGGTTGATTGACATTTCAAACGTTAAACAAAGAAATGTACTACATTGCATCTAAAACGGGACGTTTGTTTGGCAACTTCACCAAATAACGCCAGACGGTGTCTTAAGAATAAACATGTACTAAGCATTGCTAAGAGACATACTGAGCCTGTTTCCAGCATAAAGACACTTTCTATCTCTGTTCCCCCTGACACTCTTTTGTTTTGTTGTTTTTTTTTTTTGTGCCTAGCTTCCATTATACTATGAATTATTAATTTATTATTTCATAAGTTAATACCATTTTAAATATGAGAGGTCTTGTTGAAGTTTGAGCATATAGAATTATTTTATGAGCAATCATATAAGATATATAAAAAGAACTTAAGTAAATGTCCATAGAAATGTTGACCCTTTTTGACACGTATATTATCCAGACAATGACCATAATAACAGTGTAAGGTAATAATTTCTCTTTTGCTGTTAAAATATTTTTAAAAGCTATGCAAACATATTAAATAGTGTATTCTACTCTAGATGAAATATAAAGGGGTCAAGATGATGGACTCGGTGCTTTAATAATCCGACAATGTCCTTTCGTCCGTGTATTAAATGACTGTGACTAAATCGGATCTTTTGAACTGTAATTGTACCGTGCCTGCGTCACGGCTGGCTATAAAAAGGAGACGGAAAATTATCGCACTGCCATTTAATTGGAACCTCTCAAAAGCTTTACATCGAAACTGTATTCCACTATTTCTGCATTCTACTATACGGATTTGATACTGTCGCTTCCGCTACTGAAATCCAAAATGGTTCTTGCCACAGAGAAAGTTGTGCGTTGCACTGTCGTCGGCGATGGTTTTGTTGGAAAGTCAAGTGTAATTAAGAAATTCATTGGTGGAGAGTTCAATCCGGAATTTATCGCCACTCTAAAGGATGAATACTCTAGTAAATTGTCTGCAAACGGAGACCTTTACGATCTGCATGTTACTGATATTGCAGGAGAGGTAAGAAAAGTGTTGATTTATAATTGCTTTTAGAATCAAATTAAACATATTTTGTCAGTGAACATTTCGAAAAACACATTCATTTTTTTTATTTATGTGCCATCTTTTATTTCATCAGCACGAAGACCTGTCCTCTCTTCCAACCCCGGATGTATTCATCGTCTGCTTCAGTTTGGTTGACAAAGACTCCTTAGCCAGTGTTGAAAACTTCTGGCTTCCAAAAGTTCGATCCTTGGGAAAACATACTCCTATAGTGCTTGTAGCTACGCAGTTGGATCTTCGAAAGGAAAATGAGAATGAACATATATCTGCTGAACAAGGACAAAAAATCTGCAAAAATCTAGGAACAGAAAACTACGTAGAATGTTCCGCGAAAATAAACCTTGGAATTCAAGAAGTTTTTGAGAAAACTGTGTACGCAAAAATTCGGCATAGCAAGAAAAAGATGAACATTATAAAACGTGTCTTTGGGCGTTGACAAAAATATCCAGCGCTCTGACAAGGTGACCCTTGCGTCGCTACTGAGTAAAATGAGGAAAATCTAAGAGGGACTTCCGAAGTCCCCAGGAGGATGCCCGAATCCCCCGAGTACATCGACGCTCTTTATGCGGCGGCTATCTCCAAATAAGCCGTCGATAGAAAGACTTGGCTTCCAAACTGCCGCATAAGGAAATACTGATATAAAACGCCAGCGGTCCAGAGAGGTGTTTCCCCAGTACTGTTTCAATCCAAGTTAAATATTGCAGTAAACCACAGAAAAACACCGCTCCGCTGAAGCAAATATGACATTGTACGAAAACACTCACGTGTTTGATTATCACTTTACATTGTAAATAGTGTAAATTTGTAAATATTTTCTATGTATTGATTACAATTACAAAAATGGCTTTATACTTTTTTATCATCTAATAAAGACAATTGAAATGTGCAATTCTTCTTCTCTAAACTTCTTTTTTTTCGCTTATGTAGTTACTTCAAATTATAGTTACAGAGAATTAATTTAATGTAATCAAAACATCGACGTCAGCATTCTCTTAAACACAAACTTAATAAAATGTCTGGAATTTTGTTACGATTTAAATTGAATACTTCTAACGGTCCACGCAGGTTATCGTGTTGTATAACAGGTTATCTAAAAGTGTCAATAATAAAATTCTTATGTTTTACATACAATTAGTATCGTTGATAAGAATTCCTTAGATTAAATACTTTTATACGTTCAGATTGTAAAATAATAATTGAAGTTCGTTCAACTGTTCAAGCCATTAACTTCACATAATCCTTCATCGATCAAGCTTGTTAACAGATTGTTAAAATGTCAAGTGGCACTCCATGTTCTTATTAATAAGCATGGGAATAATCCATTAAAAGATGTTGATTTGATTTTGCTGGGATTAAATACTTCAATAATTATATAAACTTAAAAGTCAATGTTATCATAATCAAGATGGATACTTATTGTTGTAGTGTTGAATGTCAAAATAATTTATATAGAAGTGGAATTTCTTCATGATCAACATATTACAGCCAAAATATGTCCAATTTGTATCCTTAATAAATAGAACAAAAACATTTTGATATTGGAATGTGACGAATCAGACTCTTTAAATTATTTTAAACTATGTCTGAATGAACAATTACTTCTACAGAAGAGTTTAACAAACCATCTTAATTTACATTTTGCAAAAGAGCACTTTTTGCTTTTTTACTGGAAATGAGATAGCGTGAAAATGATCTCCCAGGAAGAAGAAATTTCATAACAGGTTTATCCCTGCAAAAAATTGAATAGTTATTCTTAAATCAGCTTAGATCTATCAATATAAGATATATTCATTGCGTTGCAGATAAATTGGTGATAAAAAGGTCGAACGGTCTAATACTTTATAATGCTCGGCTTAAATGTCTATTGTGATCGACACACTGCAGACAACACGAGGAACTTCAAAAATCTTTCAAACCATGGCCACAAGCATCTTTGAAGAACTCAAAAAATGCAACTGTCACTATTTTACAAGCCAAATGATTGAAAAAGTGTTCTTTATTAATTATTTTAAGAATTATTTTTAATTTATTATGAAGATGTTGAAAAAGTTAAACTAGGTAAAAAATATGTCACTTTAAAAGAAAAAATGCCCAACTTTGGGCTAAATGAAGAATCGAATAAGTGTAGAAGCCAGTCGTTGTTAAATTAATATTAGCTACTGGTATGAATTTGTATTAATATCATATCTCTTTCCCAAAATATTTAGGAAACTTGATGACAATGGGTTTCAATATTAATTATGAATAAATTTCAAAAAAAAAAAATACGAATATTTAGTTTGATTTTATTTTAATTTTGTGTATAATGCCAAAAAACTCAGATCTCCAATTTCCTGAAGAAATCAGGATTTTTTTTTCTCAAAAATAGCTTGAAATCAAAAGTCATTGGAATAATATATCCAGATGAACTTTGATCATTTTGTACATCATATGACTGAATCTTGCCTCCCCTTGAAAGTTTTTATTGGAATTCCCAGGGGGGTGAACATCGGTCATTTATGTAACACTTAATACGTGGCCTTTACCTTAGGTGACCACTAAGCTGCCAAACTCGGACGATTTGAGATCGATCATTTTAAAGAATGATGTTCCTTTATTTAACTTGTTTACGACGCAGAAGGATTTAAAAGGATCAAGCGTTTTATGCCATATAGAAGCATTTACTACCCAGGTGGCGAGAGTAATAGTTAACATTTAAAACCATCAAATCATTATTGATATGTTGATATATTAAGCAAAGATAACTACATGCAACATTTTCCATCCTACTTCCAACTAAACAGAATGATTTTTTGACTTTAGTACATGTACAATCTGATCTAACATTTATTACGAAAAAAATCTGAAATATGCTTTTCAAGCATATTAATTTTTTTTAAATTTAATTTTAAGAAGTATTTTTTACCAAAATATAATGCTACTACTGGGCTCTATTTCTCCATCTGCAAAACTATCTAAATGTTTGAACAGCTGTCAAAAAGATCACAGGGAACGTATATGTTTTGGCAAAATTAGTTTATTTGGCGGCATTTAACATGCACAATATTAGCTATAGGTCACTAAAAATATTATCATTGCAGATTTACCTTATGAGTATCACTAATTAAACATTTCCTTTGAATTATAAAAACGTGCAAGGTTTTCACGTGATGACAAGTTTATTGCATTATCTTCAAAGTGATGTAAATCTTATGAGTCCTAATGTTTATTTCTTCAGATACAAACGGGTCTTTTATAATTTAGCATAAATTACAAACATCATTTATTCTATTTAAAGCATGAAAACTGAAAAAAAAATGGCAAGGAACTTTTACAAGTATTAGAGACAAACAGGTCTATAAATATACAGTATGACAAATTGAAATTTTGATTACTAAATCGATCAATCATCTGACGTCATAACTGCCTTCAACTGGACCTTCCGTAATAAAGTTGTGGTCAAGCTGAGATGATTATGTACATGTACATGTAACAATTTATTACATAGTTTTATTACAGAGATCAGAAAAAACGATATAGGGCGATTCGGACATGAACTTTCTTAAAGGGCACTGCACCTTATTTAACTTTTTGTATATTCACAAACAAAAGTTTAAGAGGTTTAAGTGCTTATCTGTTTTAGAGCTGGAGATAGTAAAAAAATATAAAAGTCGTATCTTACACAATTCAAAAATGGATAATAATGACTGCATGGTTTTTCCTCTACAATGACCAATGCTTACCTATTTAATGAAAAGTTTATCCAAAGGGATTAAAGTAATGAAATACAGTATTGTACAGGATATTGTTAAATATCTAAAGTACGGTTCTTCTTACATCAAAGGAACACGATACACCCTCCTTTTTTACTTCAGTGTAGATAGCATAAGAGTTTTGGGGCTGTCTACAACGTCCAAGAGACTATAGAGATAGCAAAAAAAATAGTACCGATGGTTTCACTCCAGTGCTACTTGATAAGAGAATGCAGCGGACGGGAGACCAGAGTTTATTACAGAATCTGTTGTTGTTACAGTTTAGATTTTTAGGTTAAAGTCAGACGACGCGTTCCTCAATAATATATAATTTATTTTTCAAGAATTTGTCATTGAAGTATTGCTACTTTAATACGTTTCTTCACAAAAAATAAGACATTTGTGCAAAATACGAGAGGATGTTATTTGCTCTATAATCCTATTAGAAATCACTACCACTGCCAAAATTACAATTTTTTGTGTCTTTATTTATCTACTAAGACATTTTGAAAACAGTTTAAAAATCACAAGATAATGATAATTATGAGTAATTTGTTGTATATCACGAAGAGATACAAAACAGATACTAGTATTCGAGCAACGTATCGTCAGACCTTAAGCATTTTTTGCGGCAAATAAAGTATATAAAGTATGTTATATATCAGGCCCAGCTTGCGTCACAAACGTTTAAATGCTGATTCATTTAAGCAACCATAAATAATACTGAATTTTATTTTAAAATTTGAATTTGTATATCAAAAGCGTGCGAATTTTTCACGTGATGTAAAGGCAAAGGAAATAAATTGTTGTGGACTTATTAATTCGGATATCTGACAGATATACGGTGACCTATAGTTGTATTAACGTAGGGTTGACGATTGAACATATTTAATTTGCATTTATAATCACTTAAACAATCATTTTTGTCAAGAATGTGTTTCATATCAACTTAATCTAGACATTCTGGCGAGAGCTATTTCTCTGAGAAAATATTGATGAAGCAAAGCTTCCTTGAAAAAGTTTTCTGGACAGCTTCAGGTTCTTTGATCTTCTAAAAATCTTTTGCATTTCAAATATCGATTGGAGTTTTTCTCTAATTATGCTAGTTATTAAGGACACGGTTTTAATTATTTTAGAACAAATTTTACATGTTCATGGTCTTTTCATCCTGTAAATAGATTTTTTTAAAAAAAGCAGGAATTGAAGGCGAACTTTAATTCTATTGTCATGATTTTTATTTGAATTGGATTTGAATGATAATGTTGAAGAAGTATTAACTAAGGAAGTGACTTTTTACTGTCGTACTGTCGTAAATTTTGAAAATTGTTCTTTTTCCTATAGATGATTTATACTGTATACTAGAATCCGTGATAATCTTAGAAAATTTTCACATTGCATGTAATGAAGTTGATGTAAACTTTAAATAGAATGTAAATATTGAATGTAAAGTGAAAAAAAAGTTAGAGGAAAAAAAGAATAACACTCTTCTTTTACGATTTTAAAGCATTGTACACTTACAATGTACATTTCAAACAGCACAAATGATTTTGAATTACCACACCTACATGTGTATATTAGATTCCAGAACTTTTTTAAAAGGCCTTAAAACAAAGATACATAGCGGGATATAGCAAATGTTCTACCAAGCTTCTTTTTTTACTCCTATAGAAAATACTTATAACAGTGAGGGGAAACTTCAGCAGTACAGTGAAACAATATATTCGAGAAGTAGAGTTTATCAAACTTGGATACTTTGAAACTCCAAAGAACTTTTAGAATATTTAAAATCTACAATTTTTACCAAAATCAACAGGATCAAAATGAATGACCTTGCAACACTTTGCACAATATTCCCAGGATAAATCAAAGACTATATGCTTTTTTGACATCATAGACAACTGCCTCTTTAATAAGAATGGAACTTGCAATTTTCCTAATCTTGTCTTCGGTCATCTATAACTTTACTCAACAATCTATAAACTTACTTTGTTATAAACCATTCTGATTCTTCATACAAATACTCTAAAATTGCTACTTAAAAATGCTTGAGTTCCTCATTGATAATATCTATGTAGTCTTTGGCAATCTGCTGAAACTCCCGCGGGTTTGATGTATATCATTATTAGCAGATCTGTTTTTGTATTCTTTTGTAGTAGAATTTCTTCAAAAACTTTACATGAAAAGAGACATCTCTTGGTGTGACCTTCAATTCAATATTTAGATATATCGATGACGTTTAATCAATTAACAATACCGGTATTTATTTTCATTTATACGTTGATTCGAGATACTCAGTATCCCATTGAACTCGAAATGAAAGACTACGCGGAGTCTGACACATTTGCTTAATATTTTGATACTTTACTTGAGAAAGACATTGATTGCTAACTAACAACTAAAATTTGATACATGGTACACGTTACATCCATGATTTCAACTTTCCTATCGTTAATGTTCCTTATTTATGTAACAATATACATGTACCCTTATCACCTGCATATGAGATTTATATCTCTCAGTTGCTTCCATAAGCAAAAGCGTAGTCTTCATACAAACTATTTCTAAAATGAAGCAGACTACTGAAAAATATGCTGATGATATAAGGGTATCTAATATCTCGTGTAAAGTCATACATTATGTCTTTAGGTAGAATTTGACAGACGTCTTTCAAAAAAAAAATTGACAGACTAAATTTCAAAATAAATTTACCATGGATTTCTCTTTACCTGATCATGATAAAAGGCACGAAACGGGTGTGACCGGTCGACAGGAGATGCTTATTACCCCGATGGTACCTGATCCCACTATAGATTTTTCAAAAGTCCGTGTCTGCACTGCTCTCAATTGTTTCATTGGACTTCTGAGCATGACTACATGATCTTTACATTCCATATCTATTCGCCCAATCAAAAATAAATTTTTAAAAAAAGAAGAGAATCCTGAGAAAATCGTTTTCGATGAATTGCCAAAAATGTACTTGAATATTCTTATTCAGTAAAATACTCAGCTAGAGAAAACTGCGTTCAAAAGATCAAATATCAAAATCTATTCAAAAGATCATACATCAAATCTATTCAAATTATAATAAATACACATCATGTGACAGATAATGACATGTGCATGTATTTTAAGCACATATATGTATATCTTCTATATCTTCTGAAATTTTATATCATTTTTCCATATTGCATGGAAAAAGTAATAGATACCATGTAGATTCCTTTAAATTTCCCACCACGTAATACCTGATTTAGTAAAGGCAGATACAAGGTGTATTTTTATTCTTTACATAATGTAAGTCCACTCAGTGATTGTGCTTCTGCAACACTAAATATAGCTCCTGTTTCCGTTTATTTCATAGGATAACAAATGACGCCCGTTTCTATTTTTGGCAATTAAAATTGCTTGCTAATTGCAACTTTTTAGGGACACTATATTATTCAAGTTCTAAATTAAAAAATTAAAATGATGTCATCGTTGTTTTAAAATTACTATGCGTATTGCTCTGTTTCCCATTAGCCCTTGTCTTGATGTGTTATATCTTTGACAACTAATAATGCTTAAGAAAACAAAGATCTACAACTCTTGCTCATTATACAGTTTTATTCAATAACAAGCATAAGCTACATGTATATGAACATAATAAAATGAAACATTAAAGCATTGCATGAATGTCATTTCATCCAATTACAATATAATCATTGTAATGTTTTCTCTTTATTACGCTTAGTCTCTCACTACTTAGTGCTGAATTGATAGACTTAACTGCTACAGAGTCTATTCTGGTGTAAGCACAGAAGGAGGATCTAGAGAGACGTGCAGCAGATTGTTCTTCTAGGGCCTCGAACGCTGACCATATCCACAACCTGGAAGACTTGACGTTCTTACGAGGAGTTTATTCATTAGTGGTGCACGAACCACTTTATTATAAGTCAATGATAGTCATCATTTCAGCGACCCAGAACTCTTTTGAGAATGTTGACCTTCCTTTTGTTGTGTCTGATACTCGCCATTACGGCACTATGAAAAGTTTCCTGCACACCAGACCCGGATTTTGCGGAGCATTCTACATAAACATCGGCACCAATTGTTCTGGCCAGAGTAAGGCCTTCAGTGGTAGAAATGTGTCCAGAATGTCCATTCTTTTTTAGGTCTCCTTGTGTACCAACAAGGACGATAGGGACGTGCTTTCCAAGTGCTTTGATTTTTGGAACCCAGAAATTGAGCACACTGTCCATGGAGTCATCATCAACGAGGCTGAAGCAAACAATGTAGGTATCTGGTGTTGTTAGAGAAGATAAGTCTTCATGCTGTAATACAGAAAATTAAAAGAAATATGAATTTGCATTCAAATCCGAGTTTGAATAAAATAATAAAATGATAAATGATATTATTAACTTCTAATAGATATTTTGTTTTGTTCAGCTTACCTCTCCAGCAATATCTAAGACGTTCACGTTGTAAGTATCCCCGTTTGCGGACAATTTCGTGGTGTAATCGTCCTTAAGGGTAGCGACATATTCCTGGTTAAATTGTCCATTGACAAATTTCTTAATCAGACTTGATTTGCCAACAAAACCATCACCAACCACTATAAATTGCACTGATTTCTGCATTGTAACAACCATCATAACGTTCCTTGCTGATTTTAAAGTTTCTTGTTACCGGGAAAATGAACGAGTGATCTACTGGCAATTCACCTCGTGCTTAGAGCCTTATATATATAATCTTCCCACAGGTGACGCAGACTTTGCATTATTTCCTTGTTAACTGGACCGTGACCATCACACCAAAACATTCTAATTTTACGTTGAGTCATGTTACACTTAAAAACATCCCAGGATTTAACCATACATCCTTGCAGCGTTTTAAATTTCCCAAGTATTGACTTAACCTAGGAAATATCCATTGCAGGAGACCTTAGATCCCCTGAAGAAAATTTTCACCAAATGGATAAAATATGTTTCTTTTTTGAAATTCTTTACATAGGTTATTTAAATTATGCACACAAAAACAATATTTAGACATCTAAAGCGTTCTCATGAAATGCTAATTTTTGAAATTTTTGCTCAAGGTTAATATTTTGAAGTGTTTGGTGGTCCAGTTCATAACAAAGGAAATTATGTTACGAAACTTGCACTTGATCAAGACATGACCCTACAATCTTAAGATTAAAATGTGTGTCCACAATGCATATATCAGCATTAAGTGACACTCACAGAGGGACTAATAGGATCTTAACACTTACAAACTCAGGGGAGGGATTCTCCTTTCTTCTTTCTTACTTGCAGGGATATGACAAGTATATATATATATATATATATATATATATATATATATATATATATATATATATATATATATATATATATATATATATAAATATATATATATTAGGGCATTGTTAAGTCGATAATCACGTTGTGGACATCCCAAAAGAACGCTTTAAGTAAATAAACACTATTTCAAGGCATAATCGACGTGTTTTAAAACCTAAATTCCCCATGGATTAACAGTTTTGGTATATTTAGAAAGGAATGAGTCAAGAGTTGTTGCTTTCTTAGTGTATAAGAAAAGAAAAGTAGGGAAGTTTTAAATGCTGAAAAGGTAAACAGCTTTAGCTCTCAATATATAGTTCGATTGAATCGATTCCCCATTGGATAGTAAATAACCACCCGAATTTCCAAATTCTTTTGAATTTAAAGGATTTAATGAATAAATTAACTGATTAAAAAGTAGAGCATTCCCTTACCGAGTTGATAAACATCAACATCACCATCCTGTTTGACGAAGTTCTGGTTACGTAATGATAGAATGAAAAAGGTGTCAATAAATTGCTCATTATCATAATAAACACCTTAACTCTTCTACCAAAGCAAAGGCGTGTAATAAATTTTTCTGTTTATCAGTGAGATTTTCATGCAATAACTCTTTTACATAATCAACATGTTGATGTTATCTTCTAACTTTGAATACACCTCAAACTACGGATGTAAGTGTGTATGCACTTGTTCTTCTCCCTCTTTGTTGATTTATTTGTGTTACAAATCAAGACCCGAAAAACACTCCCTATGCTACAGTTTTAACAAAAGTCATAAAAGTGAACATAAAATGTTTTACTGGTCTTAAAATTTTAATGGTTTTTAAAATCGTGTGCATTGTTATTGCAGTCTAACATTGCTTCGTATATTAATAGGGATAATTAACAAGTTGTGAATTTATATTACCAACAATGTAAGAATTGCAAATGACCGAGTTTGCATACATTTATGATACATGCAAAAAGATGTCAAAATTGTCGCCTCGTTGTCTCGGCGTCCCAGACCTACTAGTGTGGGTTGAAATCTGTTTGGATGCCATTGACACCTGCACAGAACTGAAGTCGTCTGGAGGAGATTTTTTGTCAGCGTAAAAGTGGTACTGACAATAACTGTAGACGACATAAAAATGGAGAAAATAAATATAAAAGTAAATTGCTCAATTTAGCATCTGCAATTAAAACGGTCTTTTCAAAAAAATATATTGCTAAACAATATTATACAATACTTCAGTAATAATACAGTAATAATACAGGGGACTAAAATTGGATTTATCTTTATTATGCCCTTGAAACGAACGGAGGGGATATCGTAACGAGCTAGTAAGTGTGTTGGTGAGTGAGTGAGTGCGCTGTTGTTTAGACTTAAAGTAACAAATATTTTGAGAACCCCTATGTTTGGTAAGTAGCTTGCAAAGTCCCTACTTAGTAACGGTAAAGCATAAGTTAAGCAGTTCCAAAAATTGATTTAATAATCTGGATGTGCTAAACGTAGTTAAACATTTCTTCCAGCCCATGTCATGTGTTGTTTATCTCTTAATAATTAGCAAGAGGATTACAATTATTGCTAACATAGATCTGCACTTGACTTGGAAGGCAACTTATCGCAAACAAGAAAAAACAGAAGTGTTTACGCAATAAGCAAATTGTGATTTATGATTATCCTTATTAATGGTGCCGAGACAAACGGGATCATTGAAAAAATGTTTTGCATTTTGACCTTGAAGGTCAATCGCTGACAATATACCTTTCTGGTGTTTACGCCAAAAGATCTGTGTCATTGTTAATGTAAAACTTAATTAAAAGTGAAATAGACAAGGCCCTACTTTCTTCCACTGTTTAGCAATAAACAGCCAGTTGTTACGGCTTTGACAGAAATAGAATAAAAACATAAAGAAAAACAATTAAACAAGAGGATATTAAGTGGGCAGATTGTGACAAAATGTGGGTGTGGATTACTCACCTTCGTACAGGAACAGCGTAAGAAGAGGATACCGTTCTCATAAAGTGTTGTCCCGAAGTGTCCACCTGTGATACCTGACATTGCTGACGATAACGATGATTATGAAGATCAGATCATTACAGTAATAATAAAAAAAAATTGTAATCAAATCATATACATGTATGTAGTATGATTCACATTTTATTGAGACTTACATCTTATATATAGGAAAAATATAGTTGTATGAAAGCATATGTATTCATTCATCTTGAAATACTCTTTAAACATAAGTACATAGCAAAAGATTTTGATTTATTTATTACAAGCAAGGACAGATAGAATAATGGTATTATCTACTGCATTGGCTACTGCTTTCTCGGAAATATAGGCATAGGGTCATGAAAATATACCTTAATATGCATAAAATATGCTTAATATGCTTGAAATATGTAATAGCATATTTATCAACCCTCCTCTCTAGATCTTACATAGGGTATATTTTCATGACCCTATGCCTATATTTCCGAGAAAGCAGTAGCCAATGCAGTAGATAATACCATTATTCTATCTGTCCTTGCTTGTAATAAATAAAGCCGCCTGGTCAGCAACTTTAAGTGTCCAACTCTGCAACGAAAAAAATCCGGATTATTAACTCAGCCAGAACAATTACGGTTATTTGAAGAAAAAAAAATAATTTTTCATATATTTTTCAGATTAGAATTCCCTATACATTAAGAAAATACATGCAATACATACTTTTTTGAACAATTCTGAAAAAAATGATACTTATAATTCAGTTGTTGATTTTATAGTGTATTAAAAGTTTTACATAAAAGATTATGGTCGAGCTACGTCATGTACATGTTTGTCAGTGCAGTATAAGGGCAAGGAAGTTCACACAGAGCATCATCAACTGACATTGTATAAATATAGAGATAGGATTAATAATTCACAAACTCGATAAAGGTGTCAAATTTAAAGTCTCCTGCCACATTAAACCCGCCCTCGTTATGTTTGATGTTGTGATAAGCAGACCCCGATACCCTGTTTTCCGTTTCAGTGATTTACCTTCCTATTGTGAAAGACGAGATGACTTTGCATTTGGATTGTAAAGTTGTTTTGATCGAAGACGAAAGGGGTTAAAAACTTGGGTACATATTTAAACTAGTTTATCACTGTGTTTCATAATCATAGATTCTTTTCTGCAGCTCATCTCTAGAATACCTCAGAGGATTTAGTGAGGCTATTTTTGTTCTTAGACCGCACCGGTCGTTTAACCTTGGCGCTGAGTTACTTAGGCGATTATTCTGCTGTGTTAACTATTTTTTTCACTTTCAAATTATGTCTTGCTGACAAAGGAATTCGACATAAGCCGTGTAATGTTGAATGGAAAAGGACCACCACATACACTTCAAACTAGTCTCAGATAGAGTAACGTGTAGTTTCAATTATTTTTATTTTATTCAAAAATCGTAATATATATGTACATGTGTATATTGATATAGAATTAAATAGAATTGTCAAAAAGACAGTGATGTAATTTTTCCATAGTTGGATTACATGAACCTCTCTCTTCTGCAACTCTTGTAAAATGTATATATGATAGAGAATTATGTTTCAATATCTCATAGCACCCTAATGTTTAAAGGCCAAACCCTCTTAATCATAATTACATGAATTTACTGATTCACGAAATGGTGCAGGGTTTCGCCGGATGTAAAAATTTTGGCTTACATTCTATTATTTTTAAAATCTAATTTTATCATTTCTAAAGTGATTTAACTGAAACCTGTATATCAGCACACGTTGATCAATTTTTTGTACCAACCACAATTCTTCTTCCTTAACTAAAATATAAGATTAAATTGTAATGAAAATTGTTTTTATTCACAAAATTCTTAAAACGATGACCAGTAACAAAAATATCCTTTTGATTCATCGGTGACATCAAAAAAATAAAATTCAAGCAGTACAAAATACAAAAGCCTCTCTGTACAATAGTAATCTCAAGGAAAAAATGATGACATCAAATGTCTTAAAAATCGTCATTTCTGTTGTAATATTTCCTGATTGTGAATGTGGACACAATAAATGTCCTTTTTATATTTCATGATTGACAGCAATTAGCACAAAGGCCTGTCTGACTCGTGAAGAAAGGACTCTTGAATCCAGAATTCCAAGTGACGAAAAATCTGGAGAGAATTCGTCATATGACCACAGATTATTATGAATTCAAACTATGGCACAAGGACCATAGGATCAATTTCTGTCTATCAGTTCATCTATCAAAAATACGCTTGAAAAGACTTGGTTTTCCGATGTTGCACTTGTTACTGGCCATCAGGACGCTGTAGAATGCTACATCTACCCCTGTGGTGTCCTTTGCTGAGCATTCAACATATGCAGCAGCACCAATGGAATTGGCCAATGTGAGTCCCTCCTCAGTAGAAATATGGCCTTTTCTGTGTGCTCGTCTCTTGTCTGATTGAGTGCCGATCAGAACAATAGGTGTTTCTTTTCCTTGGAGTTGGATTCTTGGAACCCAAAAGTTGAGCACGCTTTCCATGGAATCTTTGTCCGCAAGGCTGAAGCAGACGACAAAAACGTCAGGTATTTCCATGGATGTCAGGTCTTCATGCTATAACCAATAAAAGCAAAACGTAAATTTTTGATGCATCATAGAGTCATTTTGTCTGAAATTACGAAGACAAAATACAAATCATGAAGAGAAAATAATCTTTTGAGAAGACCGTGGACCTACCTCTCCAGCTATATCAGTGATGTTCACACACAGGCTCTCCCCATTGACTTTGCATTTTGCAGTGTAATCATCCTGTAACGTGGCTACATACTCGTTATTAAAATCTCCTCCAAGAAATCGTTCTACCAGACTAGACTTTCCCACAAAGCCATCCCCTACCACGGTACACTGAAGAAATTTGGACACAGACAAAACCATCTTTGCAACGTTTTTAACTCTTTCCCCAGACTCTTACGGTAAGGTAATGTGTACATGATTAGTCACGTCGGCCTTTTTATAACTGATAGGCATGTGACGTAAGCACTTTATTTCCTGGTGGACTGGACCGTGAAATTTAGTCTAATGAGCATGTCAAATGAATTAATACAGAATAAGAGAATGCTGTCACCATGCTAATGGTATAAAAAATATAGATCAAGTAAGTACTAGCTCTTGATAATGTGTTAATTACTGCAATTGCAAGAATAGGTCATTTTCCCCCAAATAATGGGTCATTGAAAATAAGTATATCATCAGAACACTGCAGTGTTTTAGAAAATAAAACTCATCATGAAATAATTGCTTAATAATTGAACAAGGTCAAGGATATTTTATCCCGAATTATCAAAAGTCTGTGTGATAATAACCATTTCGAAATTATGTGATATAAATTACAGTTAAAGAAAGAGGTTACTTTAAAGTTACGTGAGAATTAGCCACTAGAAAAGTCCTTGACCAAGACTCCCCTAAAATTTTATTCAATTCAACGATTTTTTCTTTCTTTCAAAAATCAATTACTTCTTTTTGGACCTAAATATATTCATTTTAGTGAGAGATTTAACTCCCCCAAAGTCAAACGACTTCACAGGGTTTGCGCATATTTTTAATTAGCGAGTGCAGGATGCGTCAATTTCAGGTGATTAAAAGGCGTATTAATTAACAACGCCTCGTTATACTACTTATGCAGCAAATTGGTTTTTGTGAATTCAAATTTTCAGAAAATTTTCAATTATTCGTCTGCATGATTTCCAACTAACAACAAATTAGCCAAGGTTAATTGTGGATGTAACGAATTAAGACAATACTAACCATGATGTATATATTATCTACAAAAATTAAATTAAATGTAAAATTAAAAGAATAGTTTAATTTTAATTTTACCTGTTGTTTAAGCTTAACAGTGCAGTTAATAAATCATAGTGTTATGAGGCGCCAAGTGACTAGATTTGACTGACATAGAAACCCTGTCTTTCCTTAGTACCATAGATTTATCATCGGTAGCATACAAACATTGGGGTAAATGCAAGAACAAAATTGTCACCATATTCCGGCACTACTTTCACAGAAAAGCACGAACAAATGAGTGTTATTGATTGATTGTTTTCATGATAAAGTTCAAAATGACTTCATTTCTTTTAAATGATATTTCAAAAATTCATTTAACTGTAAATTATTGTAGATTTGTCCAAATAATCCTTACTTCATTTGTATAAATGTCAAAAGATCATGTTTGTTTTTGATTGAAGACTCATTATATGTGGTTGTCAGGTTAGATATTAGTAAGACCTCGCTTTGTAACATTAAACTATTACATGTACCTTGCCTCTCTATTTAGCTCATTTTAAACAGCTTCCGATACCTAGTACATATGTATTTTGTTTGCAAACATTCTGTTTTCCTTTGGTTTCTGGCTGTTTTGTTGTAGGAATTTTATAATGATTGGTGAATATTTCGGGGGGATTTGTTTATGTAACTTATTTTATTCTGTCAGTGTTTGTTTGTTTTTTAATTTCAGCATAGGAACAGGGGAGTTCACATTGTGATATACAGAGAACTTGTGCTATCAGTATTGTCTGGATCTCCCCTTTGCATGTTTTACTGCTATATAATACACTTTTTATCTACATTTTATGGCTTTATCGTCATAAAATAAATGATAATACCTATGTTATTTATTTTTGTTTTGATTCGCATTTGAAAGAACTTTCCCAAATCACCAATATGTTATAGTTGCGAGAACAGAAAACAAAGCAATGCCTTCTCTAACTAAATATGGTCCTATGCCTAGCAAATAAAGTAAAACGTAAAATGTGCCTGTAGTTGACAATAAATATTTTCCATACCATTTCATTCTCACTAGCATTAAAACATTACAAAAAATATATAAATATTTTAGAACGATGTGTTTCTATACTCTGTATCTATGGTGTAAACTATGGTTCACTTATGAATCATGCTATTTAAATTTGAGTATAAGAGAATTCAATTCAAAAGTATAATTCATAAATTTTACCGAGAATATCATACAATATTCTAAACCTTAAAGCTATTATTCATTACGTGAGATATTATTAAGTCTACGATTAATAGGACATTTGGTTTATTACACGTAGCTCACTTAAAAAGAAATAACAAAATAATGAGCTTGGAAATCTCATGCCTTTCTTCAATTTAAATCAGTATAATAAATAATCGCTGATTTTATTTTAATTATATATTTTTTACTCGTTACCTTTATATTTTTAGAAGGGTCATTTATGTTTCCGTATTTTTCGAACTTTTCCCACTTACGTTATTTTGATATTCTTCTCCCATTTTCATATGCATCATTTTTTTCTTTTTGTACCACTTTATATTAATTTCCTGACCAGCGTTATCAAATAAATCCTCTCAATTTTCCTTATTCTATATTTGCCCTCATCGTGACTTGAACTCTTTTTCCTCTTAATTTCCCTGCAACATCTGCTAAAGGAAAAAAAGAAAATCATCAAATATTAATTAATTAATAACATGACAAGATACATTTGACCTGCTCTTTATTAACATAACATGCTAGTCACGGTTTGTAAGGTAAACGTCCTTAAAGGACCTGCGAGATGAAACACTGCCTGCAAAACAAATATTATACAACGATTTAAGAGCTGATGTGCCTTGAAGAGTAGGTCGTCTTTTTGTCAGATCATTACTCCAGATCAGTTACTATATTTGGCGTTTTGAAACAAATAAGATACTGTTAATGAACACTTAATGCAAATTGATTAAGCTGTTTGTGGAAAGATATTCTTTTTATATAAATTAGACAGTTGGCTCTTTCTTGTTTTTCTTATAACTGTTGATTTTTTTTTTCATTTTTCACATCGGTATATACTGTACTTTGATTACCTCAATTTGTTTTTTTCTTCTTTTTTAAAAAAAAAACATTGAATATGCTTTCAGAGAAAATTGTTGTTTTCTTTTGTTTGAATAATATTGTATTTCTTCGAAAAAAAAAAATGAGCGTATGTGAACTTTTTGAAATAAAATAATTACACTGTTTCAGAGATGGATAGTTATTTCATATATATACACAAAAATACAGAGATAATTTGAAGAATGAATTCATAAATCCCTTAAGTTAGGATAGGGCATTTTACAATCATCAAACAGACGAATGTGAAGACAAAATGGTCATTAGAGAGAAGGAATTTGCTGATGTGGTATTTTAAGTGGTATATATGTATTAATAAAGTATTAATGAAGAAAAAATGCTTATCAAGCAAATACTCCTTATCCAAAAACTTTAGAAATGTAGTAAACAAGTACTTAAACAAACTAAAAATAGGCACTGCTGAATTATACTTTCTATTTTAAAACTACACATTTCAATTCCAGATCATCATTTCGTCCAATTAGACTCGCTTGGTTTGAATTCTAGACCGAATGGGTCCACAAGGTTTACCGGAGAACTATTGACAAAATCATGTCAAATTAAGCTTCTTATCTTTGTACAAAGGTGGTTGTAAATAAGAAGTTAACTGGCAAACTTGGTTTAAAACTTTTATATAGAAATATAGAATAGTATACCTGATATGACAATGCTTTTTATTTCTAGTGCTATGTTGTTTTTGCATCATACTGCGTTTTGAATTGATAGATTTAACAGTGTTTACTAACATTATACAGGATATTTTCTGTGATCAAAACGTTTAAATATTGTCCATCTGATAATAATACACCAACTCTTCTAGTACAACACTGGGGCGACAAGACTTCTGGCATTACTAAATACGTATTAGCATCATGTAACAATGCAGATTTACTACGTAGACAAAACATTGAATTTGTATTCACTAAAGTCAATGATCTGAAGTAACAACTTTTGGTGCATCTAAACCTGATGTGACAAAGTTTTTATTGGCATGCGCAGTTTTATTGGCATGCGCAGTTTTACGTTGTTTAAGCATCAAACTGCGTTTCATAGTGAGAGACTTTGCAGTGTCTACTTACTTTATACAAGATATTTTCTATGATCAGAACATTTTAATTATTGTCTTTCAGATAGTTATACACCAAATCTCCTAGTACAATTCTGGGGCGACAAGACTTGTGACATTACTAAATACGTTTCAGCGTCATGTAACGTCGCAGATATACAAATATACAATGTATATAAAACATTTTTGTAAACCATAATGACTATCTGGTAGTTAACACAGTTTTTAGATTGTTGATCGGGTTATAATGCAACAATCCATTGACAAAACACGCAAAAAAATTAAAGGCAGGAAATGTGTGGCAATGCGGTCAAAACGAGGCTCTTGTGTATGCTGTATTTCATCAATGATCATGTAATCTTAACCTTTTCTTTAATTTTGTTAAAACAAGAAAGGCAACCTATCGTTTATAAGTCTTTAACAAAAGCATTTAATTAATGTTCATTTTTCTTAACATTCACATCTTATTCTCATTAACATTTCCTGTGGACAAATTTAAGTGATTTTACAATTTTTTTCATTTGTCGACAATCAGGTGCAAAGTTCTTTCTTTACTGCAATTACAGGAAGTGTTCTCTAAGAAAAATTAACTAGGGCTATAGTTTACTATATAGGTTGACAAGGTATATACTTTATTACATGTAAACTTTACTTTGATACGTTTGAAACATTGCTAGATACTTTGAATTACTATGAAACTTCACCTAAGAACTCCTTTTTCTCAAGTTTCAGAGTTCTTAAATTCTATATCAATGTTGCAAATTTTGAAAATAACATGTTCATGAACAACTAACTTTTCCTATTTTAAAATAAATCGCATGTAAGAATCGGAGAAAATGAAATATAACAATTTGAATTTCATGTAAAAATATTTTGATTTCTGTGGTAAAAACTTTGTTTAAAATGGTAGAAACTTTTATATTTTGATATCGACGAGGTTTAATCAATTAACAATAGTTACTTCCATTCATATGTCGACTCGATATATCCCAGTGAACATGAAATAAAAGATACCACAGAATCTGC